CAGCATTTTCTCTCTCAGTAATTTGAGCTGAAGAAGCACTTTTATTAGATCAGACTGCACAGGCCAGCCTTCAAACCACATGTGTATCAATTAACCTGTCATCAATTCACTGGTTTTCATTCCTTCGACTACTTTTGGTCGGTCCTGACCACTGCAGACCAGAAACATCCCTCAAGAGCTGTAGTTTTGGAGATGTTTTGACCCAGTCGTCAGCCATTATAATTTGGCCCTTGTAAATGTTGCTTAAATCTTTGTGAAAAAAAAAAAACGAAGAACCCAGAGCAAGATGAACCTATAAGTGAAGTTGGATAGTTTTAATGTATTTGCTAGATTAGCAACCTTTGGGATTTTAAATACTATTGCCCTCAGGGATCTCTGAGTTTTGGGTCCCCTTAAGCTTTGCAGGCAACACGCATTTTCTTCACATATCCACACACACAGAGTCATTGATGCAGTCTTTGAGCTGGTTTTTAGTTGTTTTTATTAAGGGGTTAACAACCTGGATGGGGTCTAGGGGTATATGGGATGCCCAAGGAACTGCAAAACTGAGGACAAACTTAGCAACCTGTACACTGTACAAAAAGATGTGAATCTAAAGATAGCAACTGTCTCTATTAAGGAGCACTAAAGTCCCCTTGGTGTACCTCCTCAGACCCCAGATGAATCCTCCTCTTCACCTAGCTGCACTGAGGGTATCCCTGGGCAAGGAACTCCATGATCTTACAATTAAGTAGTCTTAGATGAGCACTAGTTGGGTCTGACCGCCCTCTTCCTTTATCTGGCCCAGGGGGTGTAGGAATACTCACACTGTCTTGTCCTTTTAGCTTGGTGGGTAGAAGCTGCTTTCAGGCCTTTCACTGGGCTGATACTTCCCAGCTGACAGGTTCTCCTCCATAGGAGATGGTAAGATCCTCCTGTCCAGTGGTGAGTGGAGAGCCTTCTGTCCAGCAACCAGCCTGCAGATAAGCTCCCCTCCCTGGGGCCCCCTTCCAAGCTCCACACTCCAGCCTTTCTCTCAGTCTATCTTCCACCCGACACTGCCCCCTGCTCCCCAGGTTCTGCCACATTTAATTGCTGTCCTTGGTCACCAATGCCATCCTCTTGCTTGGGGATTGGTCAAGTTTCCTCAAACATGCACATCTGGGACTCCTACCCTCCTCCACCTCTCTTCCAGGAAGCTAAGGTTCTGTAAGGGTGGGAGGGCTCCAGAAGCCCTGACCTGTATAACCTCCAAGCCTGTCCTGAGGTGAACTCACCACCTCACTCCCAGGCTGACTCATCCCTGACTGCTACCCAGGCTCTGACTAAAAAAAAACAATAAAAACAACAAAGCCTATCTAGCTAAATCTAGAGGGTGCTACACATTATTCATCCAATAGTATTTTACCCTTTGGATCTGAAGCCGTGGATTTTTTTTGCATGTTTCAAATCCTTATGCTTTTCCATTTTTTTCTGCTTTCAACACTTCAACTTCAGGGACAACATGTTCACTTGCTGCCTAATATATCTCACCATTTTCAGGTACCTTTGTAAGGAGATGATCAATGTTATTCACTTTTGATTATAATGTTATGGCTGATTGGTGTATACCACTGTGGACATATTTTGTATTTGAACTTCAGTCCTCATAATGCTGACCCTGCCCCCTCACTGGCGCCAAAATATTTGAAAATCCGGTGAATTCACAGATGTGCTAAAGGGCTCTGCCCAGCCTTGCAGAGACCTCTGGCACATCTATAGGTTCATCAAAGTTTCCCATGCATGCACAGAAAACCAGGCTCTCCAAAATGGTGGCATATTCTTGCATGTGTGGGGAAACCACATTGCATGCGCAGATATGCTGAAGGTCTCTGCTGAGTCCTGAAGCCCTGTGGCTCATGTGTGCATTTGTGGACTTGTGTGCTGCAGCACTATTAACCTGCCTAGCGGTCTGATTATGTCAGTATTTTTGTGCTCAAAGCAGTAAATTTTTTTGCATGGAAATATGTCGTTTTTTTTATTGTAGGCCTGTAATTTTTAGGAATAACTCTGAAATCTGTCCGAACAAGAGTCTAGTAAACATCCCGGGTATGATAAAATTTGAAACACGAAAACATAAATTATAATTTAATAAATAATCATAAAAAATAATAATATAATAATACATTTAATTCAATAATATAATCAAACCAAAAACACTGAAATTTGAAATAGAGCGCCAAGTTCGCACATCACTGAGCAAAGTCGCAAAATCATTTTCAGTGTCTGATGACAAATTTCCCCACGAATCATTATCACTCAATTCTGCAAGTGGTTCTAATTTGCTATTGACGTTTTCTAGCTGTTCTCTAGCTGGTCTAAAACTGCTTTTGACCTAAAGGAACGCTTTTCCCAGTTTGGGACTTTTCCCAGTTTCAAGGCAGATAGAACAGTAAAAATGCAGGCAGGGCGCAGGACAAAGCACTCGGGACAAAATGTATGTGAAATGGTTTGATACAGTAATGGTATACTATGTGATTTTTGTATTTAGTGAATGTCACTTTTTGACATTTTTAAATTTCCTGCCAGTTACGTCCCAACGTCGCAGGGAACGGAACCCAGAAGACAGATGCTGGCATCGGGAGATGGCTGGGGATGCTGCCGGGGGGGGGAACATCGCGGGAGCGAAGGACAAGGTAAGTGCAGAAGAGATCCCGGAGCAACGCTGCAAGGTATTCCTGAGTGTAGCTCGGGGTTACCGCTTGTGGTGCTGACACTTTACCCCGAGCTGCACTCGGGAATACCTCCAGGGAGGTTAAAGACCAAAAACACTGCAAAAAAAATTATCTGACTATGGGAGAGGGAAGGGCCAGGTGCAAAAAAATAGTGTGTTTGGGCTGAAAGCCAGCTTTAAACCTTTGCCACTGAGTATATGTATGTATGGGGCTGCATATACAAGTCACTGTGTTTGTGCTGTGAGCGTGCTGCACAGCACATTCCCAGCACATAGACCAGATCTTGTATTAATGATCGGGAACCTGGGAGATTCTGTTCCCAAGCACCTAATTGGCTATGACAGTGATCAGACACAGTACAGCCAGCCCATTTTGTTTTCTCTTCTTGAATGGAGAAAACGATACATTGTATCTCTTGATAAAAATTTAAACAAAGAACAGTGTGTGTGTGTAATTATAATAACAATAATAATAATAATAATAAAAGAAAAAATAACAGGGTTTGATCTAGGTCAGTGTCAGGGTTAGGCCCCTTTCACATGAAGTGGACTCCAGTTTGATCAGTAGGCAGGGGTGGACTGACCATTTGGAAACTCGGGCACTGCCCGAGAGCTCGGGGTCAGTAGGGGGCCCCATAAGATGCCCTTGGTACCTTTTTCATAGGCTTTTTTGAGTTTGGGCAAGGACACAGGGGCCCCATGATCCCTTATTGCCCAAGGGCCCCATGAGTTGTCAGTCCGCCCCTGTCAGCAGATAATCTGTCCACTGATCCCGTGCTGATCCAAGCAGAGTGGGTGGATGACACATCTGTGTCCACTCCGTTTATGCAAAGCAGACATGGACAGAGCCAGCTCTGCTCTATGGGTGGCCGGGTGTAAACGGACAGCGGAGCCTGCATTCCCATCTACTCCTCCTAGACGGAAGAAGACAGATCCACTTCCACTTTTTTGTTAGCGAACCAGAGGTAGATGGGTGTGAATGGAAGTCCATATACACTAACCCAAAGGGGTGAATGGAGCGACCGATCAGGTCCGCCTGAAAAACTGACAGGCAGAGCTAATTGAAACCTTCATGTGAAAGGCCTTAGAGTTAGGGCCCCAGTTCACACTACATGTGTTTCAGTTGCTTTTTTTCTGCATGTAAAATGCACAGAAAGTAGGTTATGTGGTTGTCAATGTCATAGCTCGCATCGGTGCTTGCAGTTCCAGTGCGTTGTATCAATAAAAGTAGAACGGGCTGCATTTTTCCTGCACAAAACTGTACTGAAACAGTAAAATGCATAAAAAACGCACTAGAACACACCAAAAATGCACATTTTCCTATTTAAATTGCAGAAAAAGAGAGGGGGGAAAAATGGACCGAAATGTACAAAAAGCGCACCAGAACACCCAAAAACTAGTCAAAAACGCAAATGCAGAAAAGCATTCGGAACGCATCTTGACTGCATTTCTATGATGTGAACTGGCTCTTAAGGTCAAAAGTCAACGTTGGGGTCAAAGGTCTTTCTTTCTTTTATCTGGGGGGGGGGGGGGGGGGGAGTGACAGCTGATTCTCTCAGCAGCTATAGTGAAGGGAAAAAAAAAAAAGCAGTAATTACATTTAAAAACCGTCACTGATCTATAGTGACAGTGACATTATTTTAACTTTTTTCTGACCTTTGGAACGGATTAACTGGTTTTCAATGCATTCCTATGGGAAACCACGTTTCAGTTTACACATTTTTCACAATACGAAACGTCCCGGAGAACGCATTAAATTTGTAAACTGAAGTACACCTGTAATGTTTGGGGGATTTAAGCAATTTTCCAGCAAAAATACTGTTTTTTTTTAACATGTAAGCAAAAAGCTTAAGAAAGAAGTCTTGAAGTGGATAGAAAATAAAAAAAAGTTTGAGTTAGGAAAAAAAAAAAAGAAAAGAACCAACAGGAAACCAAACAACCTTCCAGACAAATAGCACACAATCACTTCCAGCCAATTAGCTGTTGCCTTTCTCCCGTTCTGTAGTGTTAGTTATAAAGCAACTCAATAGGTGATTGGTGGAGGACAGCTGCCTAACTCACACCAACTATCGGTCAGTAAATAGTTAGATAACACCGTGAGCAATAAGGGGCGGAGTCACGGTTCACAACATGCTGACAAATGAGCAGAGCTCTCTTCTCAAGTTCTGTGCCAAGTCCTGGAAACCGCGCCTCTCAGCCAATCAACAAACACGTAGGTCTGGCTGCAGCCAGTGATTATCCGGTATGGTGGTGGGTGGGAGTTCATTCTGCTGAGTGAAGCCGGGCCGGCTGGGTGTACTGCCCAGAGATGATAAGGCAATGCAAAGCCGGGCTGCTGCTAAGCAGGTGAGAACTTCTCATTGTATTCTTATCATCGCGCTGTCTGGGGGGGGAGGGAGTGTGTGTGCTCGGAGTTCTCAGCATGGGGTACACGTGCTGGGACGTGCATGTTTATTACTGCTCCTATACTGCAGAGACAACTTCTGTGTGGAACTACATGTGTCAGTGTAGAGTGCCGGCTGTAATAGGGTGTGCTGAGAGGTGGGGAGACCAAGGCTGCCGGGCTCACATCTGTCCTCATGTAGCAACCCTGAGACAGAATGAGTCTGACAAGGTCGTCACATGGTATAGAGAGAGCCTGCCATCATCTAGAGAGAGCGCCACCCGGAGAGAGAGGACAGAGAGACCACCATCACCTAGAGAGACAGACAGACCACCGAGAGAGAGAGAGCGCCAGACAGAGACCACCATCACCTAGAGAGAGACAGAGACAGACCACCGAGAGAGAGCGCAGGCAGACAGAGACCACCATCACCTAGAGAGAGAGTGCAGCCAGGCAGAGAGACCACCATCACCTACCTAGAGAGAGAGAGCGCCAGACAGAGAGACCGCCATCACCTAGAGAGAGAGAGCGCCAGACAGAGAGACAGCCATCACCTAGAGAGAGAGCGTGCCAGACAGATACAGCCATCACCTAGAGAGAGAGAGCGCCAGACAGAGAGACCGCCATCACCTAGCTAGAGAGAGAGCGCCAGACAGAGAGACAGCCATCACCTAGAGAGAGAGAGCGCGACCAGCCATCACTAGAGAGAGCCAGACAGCCATCACCTAGAGAGAGAGAGAGAGTGCCAGACAGAGAGACCGCCATCAGCTAGAGAGAGAGAGCGCCAGCAGAGACCAGACAGAGAGACCGCCATCAGCTAGAGAGAGAGAGAGAGCGCCAGACAGAGAGACCACCATCACCTAGAGAGAGAGAGAGAGCGCCAGACAGAGACCATCACCTAGCTAGAGAGAGAGCGCGCCAGACAGAGAGACCGCCATCACCTAGAGAGAGAGAGAGAGAGAGCAGACAGAGACCGCCTAGAGAGAGAGAGAGAGAGAGAGAGACCGCTAGAGAGAGAGAGAGAGCCAGACAGAGAGACCACCATCACCTAGAGAGAGAGAGAGAGCGCCAGACAGAGAGACCACCATCACCTAGCGAGAGAGAGAGCGCCAGACAGAGAGACCACCATCACTAGAGAGAGAGAGCGAGAGAGCCAGAGCGCCATCAGAGAGAGAGAGACAGAGAGACCATCCTAGAGAGAGAGAGCCACCTAGAGAGCCACCATAGAGAGAGAGAGAGCCAGGCAGAGAGACCACCATCACCTAGAGAGAGAGAGACCAGAGAGACCGCCATCACCAGAGAGAGAGACCGCCATCACCATCAGAGAGAGAGAGAGCCAGACAGAGAGACCGCCATCACCTAGAGAGAGAGAGAGAGAGACCGCCATCACCAGAGAGAGAGACCGCAGAGAGACCCCATCACCTAGAGAGAGAGAGAGCCAGACAGAGAGACCGCCATCACCTAGAGAGAGAGAGAGCGCCAGACAGAGAGACCGCCATCACCTAGAGAGAGAGAGCGCCAGACAGAGAGACCGCCATCACCTAGAGAGAGAGAGAGCCAGACAGAGAGACCGCCATCACCTAGAGAGAGAGAGCCAGACAGAGAGACCGCCATCACCTAGAGAGAGAGAGAGAGCCAGACAGAGAGACCGCCATCACCTAGAGAGAGAGAGAGAGAGAGAGCCAGACAGAGAGACCGCCATCACCTAGAGAGAGAGAGAGAGCCAGACAGAGAGAGAGAGAGAGCCATCACCTAGAGAGAGAGACCGCCATCACCTAGAGAGAGCCAGACAGAGAGACCGCCAGAGAGAGAGCCAGACAGAGAGACCGCCATCACCTAGAGAGAGAGGAGAGCCAGACAGAGAGACCGCCATCACCTAGAGAGAGAGAGACCGCCATCACCTAGAGAGAGAGCCAGGCAGAGAGACCGCCATCACCTAGAGAGAGAGAGAGAGCCAGCCAGACAGAGAGACCGCCATCACCTAGAGAGAGAGAGAGCCAGGCAGAGAGACCGCCATCACCTAGAGAGAGAGAGAGCCAGGCTAGAGAGAGACCGCCATCACCTAGAGAGAGAGAGAGCCAGACAGAGAGACCGCCATCACCTAGAGAGAGAGACCGCCATCACCTAGAGAGAGAGAGAGCCAGAGAGACCGCCATCACCTAGAGAGAGAGAGACCGCCATCACCTAGAGAGAGAGAGAGAGACCGCCATCACCTAGAGAGAGAGAGAGCCAGAGGCAGAGAGACCGCCATCACCTAGAGAGAGAGAGAGCGCCTAGAGAGAGAGAGACCGCCATCACCTAGAGAGAGAGAGAGAGAGACCGCCATCACCTAGAGAGAGAGAGAGAGAGACCGCCATCACCAGAGAGAGCCAGACTGCCATCACCTAGAGAGAGAGAGCGCCAACAGAGAGACCGCCATCACCTAGAGAGAGAGAGAGCGACAGAGAGCCATCACCCGAGATCACCTAGAGAGAGAGAGAGAGACGCCAGACAGAGAGACCACCATCACCTAGAGAGAGAGCGCCAGACAGAGACCACCATCTTTACCTAGAGAGAGAGAGCGCCAGACAGAGAGACCACCATCACCTAGAGAGAGAGCTCACCTAGAGAGAGACAGACAGAGGACCACCATCACCTAGAGAGAGAGAGCGCCAGACAGAGCTAGAGAGAGAGCCAGACAGAGAGACCACCATCACCTAGAGAGAGAGAGAGAGATCAGCACAGAGAGCGCCAGAGAGACCACCATCACCTAGAGAGAGCGCCAGGCGGACAGAGACCACCATCACCTAGAGAGAGAGAGAGCGCCAGACAGAGGACCACCATCACAGAGAGACCACCATCACCTAGAGAGAGAGAGCGCCAGATCACCTAGAGAGAGAGAGAGCCATCACCATCACCTAGAGAGAGAGAGCGCCAGGGGAGAGACCACCATCACCAGAGAGACCAGACCCCATCACCTAGAGAGAGAGAACGCTAGAGAGACCGCCATCACCTAGAGAGAGAGAGTCGGACAGAGAGACCACCATCACCTAGAGAGAGAGCACCAGACAGAGAGACCACCATCACCTAGAGAGAGCACTAGAGAGCCTGCTATCACTTAGAGAGAGCTCCACCAGGAGAGAGGACAGAGAGACCACCATCACCTAGAGAGAGAGAGCCGGACAGAGAGACCACCACCACCTAGAGAGAGAGAGCCGGACAGAGAGACCACCATCACCTACAGCAGAGTTTCTCAACTCTAGTCCTCATGGACCCCCAACAGGTCATGTTTTCAGGATTTCCCTCAGATGAAACAGCTGTGGTAATTACTAAGGCAGTGAAACTGATCAAATCACCTGTGCAAAATAATGGAAATCCTGAAAACATGACCTGTTGGGGGTCAGGCAGAGACCGCCGTCACCTAGAGAGAGAGCACGCCGGACAGAGAGACCGCTGTCACCTCGAGAGAGAGAGTGTCTGCCATCATGTAGACAGTGAGTCTGTCTTAACCTAGATGAAGCCTGCAATCACCGAGAGACAGAGGGAACATGTCCTCACCTAGAGAGACTGAGACTGCTGTCAGTGAGAGAGAGAGACTGCCATAACTAATAGAGAGACAGACATCACCTAAAGAGAGCCTCCTTAGAGAGCCTGTTGTCATTTAGACACCCAGGGAGAGAGCTTGCCTTCACCTCAAGAGAGCTAGTGAGCCTGCTGTCTCTTAGACACCTAGACAGCGATTGAGACTGACATCACCTAGAGAGCCCCTCCTTGCACAGAGAGCCTGCGGTCACCCAGAGGGAGAAAGCGAGCGTCTGTTATCACCCAGAGAGAGGGACAGAGACTGCCATCAGCAAGAGAAAATGAGAGCCTGCCGTTGCAAAGAGAGCGAATCTGTCCTCACATAGAGCGAGATCAAGTGCCATCAGTGAGAGAGAGCCTGCCGTCCCCTAGACACCTAGAGAGGGAGAGAGCTTGTCATACATAGAGAGACAAAGAACCTGTTGTCCCCTAGAGAGAGGTCAAGAATGCCATTAGTGAGTGAAAGAGAGAGTCTGCCGTCACCCAGAGAGAGATCAAGAGTGTCGTCAGTGAAAGAGCGAGCTTGCCGACATCTTGAGAGAGAGAGAGTCTGCCATCACCCAGAGAGCGAGGGAGAGAACCTGTCCTCCCCTAGACACCTAAAGAGATGGAGAGCCTGATGTTGCCTAGACCCCTAGAGAGGGCCTGTCATCACCTAGAAAGAGTGAGAGAGCCTGCCATCCTGTAGAAAGAGACAGTCATCACCTAAATAGAGAGCCTCTCCTTTCATAAAGGGCCTGCTGTCACGTAGACACCCAGAGAGAGAGCCTGCCATCATCTTAGACAACTAAAGAGAGTACTGGTCCTCACCTAGAGAGGGATCAAGACTGAAATTACCTAGAGAGAGCCTCTCTTTGCATAGAGAGCCTGTTGTCACCCAGAGGGAGAAAGCAAGCGTAGTCACAGAGAGAGAGAGGGAAAGAGACTGCCTCCACCTAGAGAGATTGAGACTGCCATCATCAAGAGTAAACGAAAGAGCCTGCCGTTGCAAAGAGAGAGAATCTGTCCTCACCTAGGGAGAGAGAACACTTGTCATACATAGACAGGGAACCTGTCTTCACCTAGATCAAGAGTGTCATCAGTGAGAGAGAGCCTGCCGTCCCCTAGACAAGAGAGAGAGACACTGCAATTACCATTACCCAGGGAGAGAGCTTGTCGTACATAGAGAGAGATCAAGAATGCCATTAGTGAGAGAGTGAGTCTGCCGTCACCCAGAGAGAGATCAAGAGTGTTGTCAGTGAAAGAGGGAGAGAGCCTGTCCTCACTTAGACACCTAGAGAGAGCCTGATGTTGCCTAGACCCCTAGAGAGGGCTAGTAATCACCTAGAAAGAGTGAGAGAGCCTGCCGTCCTGTAGAAAGTGAGACATCACCTAAAGATAGCCTCTTACATAGAGGGCCTGC